ATTTTCACAGATATCAGGACTACAGTATCATGTAAATCATATCACCTGATTATGCTTAGTCACTGAATTTGTTTTTTCATTTTTACAATGAGCTAAGAACACATTTATAGAAGTATTTCTTAAGTTGGTCCTTTACTGTCAAGGGTTTTTATTAGAAACAAAGCATTAAGTGTTGATAATGCTTTGCTGTTGAGTCTTTTATGAACAGCTAAATGAAGTGTGAAATGTGCAGTTCATTGAGCAAGTTAAATTAGCTTCCCATTTCATAAATTGCTTAGGTACCGACAGATAACAGCCTCCAACTTACCGGTACTGTATACTGAGGTAACAAACAAGCACATTAAACATCACTTACATTTCAGATGTTATCACGGGAGGAATCATTTTTGCAGGAAAAAGTTTAAATATGTCTTACTGTGAACTACAAAAGTGAGATGTTCAAGCTGGTTTCTACTTCTCTGTCTGACAGACAGTAGATTAAGGCTGATTTGCTGAAAGCTTCCAGAAAAGTTGTGATGCTGTGTAAAATGTAGATAAAAACATAATGCAATTAAATACAATAACATCTCTCAGTTTTTTTTCTTTGTACTATTTTCAATTAAGATTGTTGTCTAAATGAATTGCACCCTGTTTTTACTCAATGGGCTTGTATCCTTAATTTATTATGTGCACAGTGCTACTATTTAAATCATTTACTACTGATTTCTTACACTTAATCTCTCAACTAGTCTCTACTGCAGCCTACTTATGTAAGAAAAAAGGCAGCGAATCACGACTGAAGCCCCCTTGCAGAACAAATGTGCTACTTCTAATGAGACTTGAGCAGATAATCTCATCCTTGCTGTTTTCTGTTAATCTCTGAGTATCATTGACAAGCACATTTGAGTGAATGTGGCATGAAGAAAAGATCTCATTTACACACTGTTAGTGGTGTATGAAATATCCATCTGGATGTCCAGTCATTTACTCCCAAGCACTCTCCCTACTCATTGCCTTACTTATAACCTTTCCCAATTATTTGATGATTCTTCTTCCATCTTCTCCATATTCCCAACCCCAGGTGTTCATTCTGTTCTGCTGTGATTGCTAGTATCAGCATCATGGCTCTCCTCCCACTGGCCAAGATTGACTTCATCTAATTAGGTCCTCATTTGCCACATAATCTCCACAAACACAGTCTAAAGAAGCCTCTCGATGCTGGATACCAAATGTGTCATTTCCACAGGAAAACATCAAGATTTTAGCATTTTCAAAATTGTGAATTGAAAAGTGTAGCTGCACAGCAGGAATTCTTAGATATAGCCTCAGCCATCGACCCATTTCTGCTTCTGGCTACAGTTCCCCTCACTTCCTTTTCAGGCTTCCCTGGGATTCACAGTACTTTGGCTTTGAGTCTGTTGGTAAAGAACATTACTTCTTTTCAAATAGATTCATATGTTGACCCATGCCAATACAATGATATGTTTTCAAATGGTAAGCTGTGCTTGCTGTAAATCCAGCTTTTTGGCAGTATCCCCAGACCTTAGGGTTCATGGTTGGCTTGTGTACAAGAGCTGAGCCAAAAATGTCATCCCATGCATGATTCTGTATTAACCACTAAATGATGATGGACTAGTTCCTATCTAATTCAGCTGCAGAACACACTTTTTATACTGGAAAAATGAAAAAACACAAGTTTCTGAAAAATACTTCTTATTACATTATTGCACCGTTTCCCATCTAGCTACACTCAGTAACCCATAATGTAAAAAGTGGTAATTTGTTTTTTGTTTTTTTTATCAATTTTGTGAAAACAAAAATATCAAAAACTATGGATTCTGTATTCAGAAACCTGTTTTAGTAATTTGTAGAAGCTCATTTGGCAGAAAGTGCACACCCACGGTTTCTTTGGTAAGTCTCCATAAACTCTGCATCTTTGTGGATCTTTCTGATCTTCCCAAACTCGTGTCAGATTGGATTAGGAGTCGTGATCATCAGGTATCTCTAAAGATGTTTCTGTGGAGTTTAGGTCTAGGCTCCCATCAAGGACAACCAGAGACTTGTTTTGAAAGAAGGAAGAAGAAGGAATGAGTTCATGTAAATGTATATATACATGGCCAAGGCTCTTCTTGGCCATATACATGAACTCATTCCTCCTTGTTCTTCTTCCGGCCGCTTCCTTTAGAGGCCTCCACAGCAGAGATCATACATACATCTCATAGATGTCCTGCACCAGCCTCACATACTTCTCTGCCACTCCTGCCTTCAGGTTGAGTGTCATACCACTTCACCAATGTCAGGTTTTGGCACTGCGGCAGGTTTTTTGGATTTGGCTGCACTTATCCTTTCTTCACTTTTGACTTCTCTCCATGTCCCTGCTGCTTAGAAGCAAGCCCCATAGCATGATGCTACCACCAACATGCCTCACTTAAGTCACATCATTAGCAATTAGCTGGCATTAATTCATGTTTTCAGAATATGTTGGTTTGAGATCTGCCCAAAGAACTCAGCCTTTGACTCATCAGCCTAGAAAATCTTATTCTCTGCATGCCCAGTCACTGAGTTTGATTGGATGAGCTTCATGAAGGGTTTATTTGAATAAGATTCCTATTTGTTCCAAAGTTTTTCTCAATTCAATTATTGATACTATAGTTAGCCCAAAACTTAATGGTTACACACATAAATCTATAGTTCATAAATTCTGCCCTGATCTATGCCATAGATGTTATGACTTAAGGTTTTTTTGGCTGACATGCAGTGTGGACTGTAAGAACATATATGAATAAACAGGTGTGTGTTTCTAAGGTTTGTCCAGTCCATTGGCTTTGTCATGCCAACCAAATTACAGACACATTTGATAAATGTGTCGACTGACTGCACGGAGAGTGATTTTTTAACATGTCTGGTGAATATAGAAAGCTAAAATTTTATGATTTTACAGCTTTAACTACTACATTTTCACTTAAATTGATATGTTAATATTAATAACAGAATTAACTGAAACAATTACTAAACAGGTCTGGGGTATATGAAGTTTTATATCACAAAACAAGTACTCTACTGAATATGGCTGATGTATCAGTAATACATTTTGTGTGCTCAACACAAACTGAAGTACTTTCTGGGCACAGCTACAGTTTTGCCAGATTGTTTGGTATTATTTATTATTAGTATTATTTTTAGGACATAAAATCCTTAGAACTGGGACTTGGTTATAATGCATGAGGCATACCACCGAGCACTAGGCGAGATCTTTGTTTGTATTTTACGCTATATAGTTGTGTTTTTAAGCACAAAAATGTCAAATTCATGAGCAGGATGGATCACAACATAAAGCAAAAGAAAATGATCAGGTGGGGTTGTTAATCTTAATGCTGGGATTAGCATTTTTATTGTTTCTCCTTAGAAATCCTTTGGCCTCCTGTCTGTTTGTTGTCTCCACCACATTGCTAGAGTGCTTATGCTGGCAGAGTAAACATGTTCAGCACTATTACGCATTTTCACACACCTTTTAAAAACTGTTTATCTCACCACCACCATCCACTCGGTAACAAATAGGGCTGCCACAAACGATTATTTTGATAGTCGACTAGTTACCGATTATTTTTGCGATTAGTCGACTAATCAGATCATGCATCCATTGGACGTAAAACGTACGGCTTATTGCACCAGCAGCATCTGCTCTTATATAACTATCATTAGCTTACAGCTTTAAGATTTTAAGGTATGTGGTAACTAAAAATAAAGACAAGATGATAGTTTATTAAATTTTAATGAAATTTGCAGATTGTTTCGGTTTAATAAACTCCTTGCTATCTAAAATATAACAGGACACCGGAGTATTTTCCCCAGCATCTCACACTTCTGATAATCAGCTGTCTGCTTGACGTTTATTCAGCTGTGTAAAAACTATAAGTTTAATCTCAGCCAAACCGATTTACTCAGGAACAAATAAAATACTAAAAAAAAAGCCAAACAATAACATTTTGAAGTTATCTAAGTGACTTATATTAAATGTTTCACCTGAGTAGTGAAAGACGGCGGTGGGTTTGAAAACGATTTGCTGGGAGTCCGGTGTTCTCACAGGCTCTAGTGAGCCTTGCCCCCGGCTCGCTATCGAGCTAGTGGGTAACAGACGTCTCAGAAAACGTCAGAGCACTTTTGAAAATATGCGGTGTCTTGATAAACTGAGCAGATATTTGAGGTTTACACAGCTACATTCTCACCTGAAAATATGTTAAACTTTATTTTGTGACCCAGAAAGAATAATAAGAGTAATATTAAAACTAAGTAGCTGCCGCCATTGTTGGAAACTGAGCTGGGCCGCGCTATGAATTCTGGGACACAGCTACTTCTTCGGGGTTTAACGGCAGCTGGCATCCTTGTACATGCAGTGCTGCCATCTTCTGTTTCAGTCCGTTATTACACTCTTAAATCCTACTACTTATTCCTGCGTCTTTTGTGATCTTACAAAGCTTCAAACGACGCGTTGACTATTAAATCGGTCGTCGACGATTTTGATAGTCGACTAATCATGGCAGCCCTATTAACAACTTATCATTACACAAAGAGGGAAAAAAAACACTTTCATCCAGCAGCCCGAAAGAAACCTTTTTTCTTTTTTACCCATTCATCTCACCTACGCATCTTTCTATCACCCCCCTTCTTTCCTGCCACTCACCCCACAGCCACTCTGTGCTGTGTTTGTGTCTCTTTCTGTTTTTGCTGTCAATCTTGACAGATGTGTTTCCACTAAGGATGCACTAAAAGGTTATATCTGCTGTGCAGAAGAGTGATTGCAAAAGGTCAAGCGTGAATTATGAATGTGCAGGTGCTTTGAGAAGGAGCTTTAATAAAGTTGATATTATATATGTTAAGGTGTTTCTTTATACTACTTTAGCCACTTTCTAAGTGGTCACTGGCCATGGTGCAATAATAAAGGTGCATCCAAAGCTGCTTATAGCAGCACTTTGTTCAATATAATGATTCAGTGGAGAACAAACATTTAAAATGTAACTCACCTTCTTTACTGCTTCATCTTCGGCATCTTTTCTCTCCTGTGCTTAATTCCACACCCCTTGTTGTCTGCGTATGCACATTTCTCCACCTTGAAGTGAATAAAAAGAGTCAGAATGAATTTATAACATATGAAAACACTCCTGTGGTGCTCTGCTGGCTAACGTGCTGGTCCCTGTGCCATGTGCTCATGCTGTGCTGCTGCTCTCTGCTCTTTTTCTAGGTTCACTTCAGACATACAACAAATAATGTAATAAAAAATTAAATTAATGCACAAATCATTCCCCCTTTTTGTAGAACCAATAAGAAAACTCTAGTCTTCTTTGGACAGAGTGGTTGGCTTAAGACATTAAATGACTGTGTGCATAATCAACTAAGCCCCGTGTTGTTTGGCTGTAAAATCACAGCACTAACATGCTTGTTTTCAGCCTAAAACTCATCTTTTGGGGAGCTGTGTTTCAGGAAAGAGGGAGGAGATATGCAGAATTCATTTTAAGCCTATTTGTGCTTATTTAATCTAGTGCGTTAAATCCTTGAGGTGTTTTGAGGGAGGGTGAAAACAGTCTTTGTTTCAGGGTAACTACTCTCTAATATTGAAAAGCAGAGTGTGCAGATCACCTATACTCTTTTTCAGCTTCTGAAAAGTTTTAAAGGAACGTTTATGTATGGAAAAAGAACAACAGTGAGATGTGTTTTTAGTAAATATTCCTTCCTTGTAATATCCTGTCAAACTAGAGTCACTATGCTTTTGAGAATCAACAAAGCTTTTGCAAATTAGGTTTCTAGAAAGCATCTCTTTTCTGATATTCCATGAAGGTGATGAAGAGGATGTGGCAGGTAGTTCATTGCGAGGGCATGGAACAGATGGTGGTCTGTCTGACGCTCGCCGGGTGGGACTTGGTTTGGACAGGCTGGACATACACCCACTCGCACAGACACAGGTCAGGGCGAGGGCACCAACACTCCAGGGGGCTTTAGGTCTGCTTTACATGACAAGGATGTGTGGATGCTCCAAACAGGGTGGTAATGAAAAGTTCATTAGAATTTGGTGCAGAAGTGGAATAAATCATATTCTCTTCATTGTGGTTTTTTGTGTTGGTTAATGACCAAGGGATTCACGAGCTTAAACAAATGCTAAGTAAGTGTATAAGGTCATTTTTGACTTGCCTGAATACAGAAAAGATTATTTCTACCATGCCAGACAGCTAAGTTAAACATGTAAATTAAATAACTTAGCAATATGATATTGCATGTATATAGCACATTTCATAACACAACACACAAACACACAATTAAATACAAGTCTGTGAGAATAAAAAAGGTTTTAAGTTTGTTTTTGAATAGACAGTTCTAACTGACCTCAGGGCAGCGGGCAGCTTCTTCCAACAAACTGGAGCACAACAACTGAAAGCATCCTCAGCACACTGAGATCTAATTCTAGAAGCAGCTAAAAGATGTGCACTTGATGACCTGAGAGGTCTGGTTGGTGTACACTGACCAATTCAGAGACCTACTGGCGAGGGCCAAACCACTGGGAGCTTCATGACATAAGAGAAGGGTTTTAGTGGTAATTCTGTTTTGAACAAAAGTAAGTTGGAGATAATGATTCTCCAACTTTTGACATGTTTAAATGTTAGAAAGCAGTTCTGGTAATCTTATTTAAATGGCTATCAAAACTGAAACCATTAACCAAAACAATGCCAAGGTTCCTGACATGTAAACTACATGTTAATTACTACCTTAGGAAATTTTTTAAACCAACAACAAATATTTCCATTTCATCTCTGTTGAGTTACAAAAAGGTTTCTAGACATCCACAAGTTAATGTCATGATTGTTTACGATAGTACCAACTAGGAGCATGTAATGGTTAAAGAATAACAGACCAAGAACTAACCCTTGATCAAACCCTGATTTATATTTTTATTTCTGCAGATCTAAACCTACTAATGGAAACAAAAAAAACTTCTGCCCTTCAGGTATGATAAAAACTAATCAAGAACCTGACCTATAAAACCAGCTGAGCAAGCTGTGCTTATCAAACATTTTAGCTCCAATCATAGACTAATTCTGAGGTCTGGTGCTAAATGAGTGTTAAGAATTAGATGGAATTATCCACACGTAAAATGATCTTGAACACCAAATTCAAATCATGAAGTACTTTATTAAATATTTTTCCATGTAGGACATAAAAACTATATTTTAATGTCTGCTTGTTCACTATGCTCATATATGAAAAAGCAGACTAATTTATCATAATATGCTTTTATCCTCATTACATAAATGCAAACAGTGAGACATCAAAAACAGCTCTTCATACACACCAAACAAATTAACAATTAAAGTTAAATTTTTTTGCTCTTTTTTGTAAGCTACTTATTCATATATGAGACAAAGTCTTAAACTGTTAGTATTAGTGTCAGTCCGTGATGGACACTTATTTACAGATATGCATAACAACAAATTCCAGAGACACTGTTCTAAAAATGGTTTAGTGACAGTTATTTACCAAGAGCAACGTATACGTAGACGTAATGTAGACACGTACAATGTCACTGTTCATTTTGAGATGAGCTACTACATGTATATTTAGTTTCTATAAAGATTCTATTTTAAGATTATTGTTTTGGCATTTCTTTGCTGTTGATAGACAGTGAAGCAGCGAAGAGAGACAGGATAGTGTGGAGAGAGACAGGCAGAAGATATGCAGCAATGGCCCCCTGCTCACCCTACTGAGCTAAAGTGGAACCTAATATACATGTTGATAATCCTGGTATCCTGGTAGTTTACGCTATAAATTTCATCCAGATTGATTAACGTATCTACGAGGAGTTAGGGAACAGACATAGATACGCTACAATTTTTATAGTAACACATTTATAATATGAAATGTTTATGAAGGAACTTCTCAACCACACAATGTTTTTGGTATGAATACTGTACCACTAAAAAACATTATAGCAAAAACTTAAGTCAAAGATGAGATTTCACATCTTCTGTGCCCTCTCTTCTCTGTCAGAAAAGATGAGAATTTCAATTTCACACTCTGCTGGGGTGCGTAACACACACATCACTAAAACACAGGTACACAAACAGACAGATGGGGGGAGGGTTGGCTTGTTAAAAATGGAGCAACATATGTATTCATGAATGAGTAAACAGCCAAGGGATGAACATAAATGAATACATTAGACACAAGAAAAGACCTAAAGACCATATACATGCATTGAAAAGTTACCGGCATAACCTTTGTTATATTTATTACATTATTTAACCTAAATGACGCGTTTGACTTCAACTAAACATCTCCTTTAATCTTTCTGTAAGTAAACTGCAGCTCTCCAGTATTACAGTATTCACTACCTGCACTGTGAATAATTCATGTATGCGGGATAAATAGTTAAATAGGCAAAACACGTCTGTCAAAAGTAAAAATGACTACGACCTTGCCTGCAAAAATAGGTGGAAGAGGGTTGCATAGATGGGGAAGAGAAGCGATAGAAAGATAGAAACAAACCCAAAAAATGAACAAATGAGAGAAAAATCCATCTCTTGTTAAAGAAAAAACCTTCATATGTTGGAGTGTGATACGGAAATAGGCCCTCTGTATTCATGAATCTCTTAAGAGCACAATCAATGGGGTAAGCAATACATAAAAGATGAGGCTGAGTTTGACCTGTGCACTGAGGGGGAGGGGAGAGTGTTCTGCAGAGCCTGGACTGGAGGAGATGGCGATTTAGACTCTGTTGGGGCATCCTTTGAAGTTTTGGCAGATGAGGATGGACTGTGGATCAGCCCGTGGCCCTGCTGCATTAACCCCCCAAGCCCCAGCTATGCCTGCACTGAGTCAGCAGCAGCGGCAGGCTCCCTGCCTGGCCAGCATTGTGCATAATCTCTACACTATAGTGTAGCACAGATCCACTACAGAAAGCCATCATTCAAACTTCAGCAGTGATTATCTCTTTGCTTTATTACATTTTCACAGCAGCATGACTTCTCACCAGTCAGCTACAGATCTGATGTTGATGCTCATTTTGGACAATGATGGAATTTGTGGAGCACGAGCTCATAACATCAACCTGCAATCATTGCGGTATTTCTTATCTGCTAGCACACAGCACACAGAAACACATAAATAAAAGCAAAGACCATTATCATGCTGAAGATCAAGATCGGCACAGATTGGAAGTCACACTTACACGCATGGAAGCACGTAAAAATACACACAAGCAAACTGCTAGTGCACTTGTGCCCGATTGTTTAAAGCATGTGCAGACACTAAATAGAGGTGATTCACGTCAGAAAGAGGATTAGAGGGGGTTGTGAAAAAGCTGAGAATTATTGACAGAAAAGAGGGGGATTTAGATTTAGCTTTGCCAGTCCGCAAGTGCCTCTAACTCCTCCCCTCTCCCCTCCCTGTACAACCACTTACACATAAACTAGCGATGACTCAATAAGACCGTGTCAGGTCACTTTGAACTGACATTGCTCAGGAAACTTATTCCAAGCAGTGGTTTGCTCTGACCCCATCTTTTCTATCAGCGCTTACCCTAACGCTACAAACCCAGTCATGTATGCACGTACAGTAAGCATCTCTCAAAGTCCAGAGGGCCATGCATTACATAATGAAAGAAAGAATGATAGAGAGTCAGACGGGAACTTGTAGAATCTCATCTATCTGCAGGAAAACAAACTAATCCGATTCAAAATACAACCAAATCTCTGTATGATTAAAATAATTCCAGATTCTGAATTAATCGAGGGGATGACTAAACTAACCAGGATGCATCTTTCAAGGTTAAAGTTTCAGTCATTTTTTCAGTGCATACAAAAATACCTCAGCTGCTCTGAAATATAGACAAGCCTGTGTTATCGCTACTGTCCAGTGAGACAGATGCAGGGTAAACATTTTGATGTGGGTTAAGCGTGAAGCATGGCTAGATGTATAGACACATGTGCATGACTGTGAATGTGTGTTTTTACAAGGGCACTGAGATGTGTACAGTATTTGCAATTGAAATGCTGGGCGTGATTGTGAGGCAAGGCGGGAGGCTTGACGGCACCCCACCTGGCTCGTTGGACTTCCAAAGGG